ATGCGGCGCTCAGCGACCCCATTCTGCAGTGGAGAGGCCGGAAGCGTGAACGACTGCTCGATGCCGTGCTCAGCACAGTAGGCTGCCAAGAGGTCGGAGGCGAACTCACCACCTCTGTCAGAGTGCAGGCGTAGGACTGGAAAGTCCGAGCGAAAGCGCTTGCCTAGCTGGAGACGGGCTCGGCTGATCCAGGGGATCAAGACATCAGGGACGTCACCCTTGCTGCGCAAGGGGAAGACCGTGGTGTAGCGCGAGTAGTCGTCGACAACTATCAGGAAGTACCGCTCCTGACCCTGACCACGGACGCGGGCTGGGCCCCACACGTCCATGTGTAGCGTCTGCAAAGGAGCAGTCGTCGGGGGGAAGGAGGAGGAGTGGGGAGCGGCGCGCTGCCGCCCCTCAACACAGGGAATGCAGTCGGGAGCAGGTGAGGGGGGGAGGGGAGGGAGAACCCGAGGGAGACCAGAGACAAGCTGCCGCTTGTGCATGGCACGAAGGCGCTGCACGGACGGGTGGCCAAGTCGGTGGTGCCAGAGGACAGTGTCGTGCGCCAGAGAGCGACACGAGCAGGGGGCGGACAGCTGACCTGACGCCGACGCAGACGTGGACGCAGCTACCTGAGGGGACTCAGTGGTCAGTGTGTACAGGTCCGACCCCGGCTCCCGAGTAAAGGTAGCCAGGTGGCGACCCGTCCGGGCACACGTGCAGTGGGTCACTCGCTCGTAGGCAGGGGTGGTCTGGTGAACACCCCCATCCTGTAGCTCACATCCTGCCACCAAGTTCGTAGAGAACGAGGGGAGGTAGAGACCCGACAGCGTGCCGGACGGGACTGCAGGACAAGGGAGGACAGTGGAGTGAGTCGCAACGACTGGACCCCCAGTGGGGTCAGCTAGCGAGACTGCAACCGGCCGAGCAAGAGGCTCAAGGACAGTGCGGTCACGAAAGAAGGAGCGAGAAGCACCTGAGTCAAGAGTGAAGGTGTGGAGTGCGGCGGTCGGCTCAGTACCAGGGGCGACTGGGGCTATAGCACCTAGGGCAGCAGCCTCACCAGGACCTGGGGCAGCAGACACACTAGTACCTAGGGCAGCAGCCTCACCAGGACCTGGGGCAGCAGACACACTAGTACCTAGGGCAGCAGCCTCACCAGAACCTAGGGCAGCAGACACACTAGCACCTAGAGCAGCAGCCTCACCAGAACCTGGGACAGCAGTCTCACAAGTACTGAGAGCGGGAGCCTGACAAGTCACAATGCCCGGGTCGGGCGGAACACGCAGGTACTGAGCACTCTCTCCACTAATAGACATCGCATACATGGCAGTGAGAATAGCATCAAAGTCTAAAGCCCAAATATCAACACCCTTCTTTTCCAGCTCAGGCCAGTGGGGCAGCTCAGCACCCCCAGGAAACTGGGCGCGCCACGCGTCAGTAAGGCGCTGGTAGCAGCGCTGCGTGGGGTGCGGCCTCCCACACGGCAGGCCCTTGCGGTCACCAGTGCGGTGGACGTACGTGCAAGTGGAACCACGCTGTGCGTACCACTCACGGGCGGCCTGGAGGGTCGGGGCGTGCTGCTGACCCTGGCCACCACCAGCGTCTCCACGACCACCACCGCCACCGCCACCGCCTCGGCCACCTCCACCCCTGCCGCGACCACGACCACCACCGCCGCCGCTGCTACCGCCGCTGCCGCCACTACTCCCGCCGCCGCTGTCACCACCCCCACTGCCACCACCAGTGTCTCCAGACCCACCGCCACCCCCACTGCCGCCACCCCCACCGCCCCCGCCTCCACCCCCACCCTTGCCCCCCCTGCTCTTGCGACGCCCGCTCGAGGCAGACGCAGCCCCGACCTTCTCAGCACCAAGGAGGTCGACAGTAGCAGCAGTGGCGACAGAGGGGAGAAGGGGGGAAGGGGAACACCCCTCAAAGAAGGGGTGGCGGGGCTCGCCACGAGAGGCACCTACGGCGACGATGCTCGCCTCAGCTGCAAGTAGATCCTTCTCAAGGATGGCGATGGTGAGCTCAGTAGGGGAGCGAGCAAGAAGAGAGTCCCTGACTGCGCGCAGTGAGTCAGGGAGGCGGGTGACAATGTGGTAGAGCGTGAGCCAGAGCGGTGGGGGGTTGCTGGCGAGGAACTCGGCAGGCATAGCAGCGCGAAAGCGGGCCTCACTGGTCTTAAGGTGAGTAATGAGATCGGCAACGGTCTGAAAAGAGGCCAGGTCAGGGAAGAGGTAGGGTAGGGTGAGGCGGCCTAGGGTGGCAGACGCAGGCGAGGAGTAGCGGGCAACGACGGCTGTGTACAGGTCCTGAGCAGTCTTGCACTGGCCGAAGTGCTCGCGCTCATCTAGCGGTAGCGAGTTGCGGATAGCAAAGCGAGCATGCGCGTCGCGGGTCTGCCACTGGGAGCGTAGAGTGCTGGCAGCAGAGGAGTCAGGGGCAGTAGCATGGCCGAGGGCATGATCATACAGGGAGATGTCTTCCTTGGCAGTGAGCTGTAGGAAGAGGTGGAGATCCTCAAGCCAGGTGTCAAATTTCACTGGGCGACCCTCAGCATCGAAGGCTAGGACAGGAGCGCTAGCCATGATAGCAGGAGGAGGAACAGTCGAAAATGGAAGGATAACAGGAACAGCAGCAGTTGGGACAGCTGCGGCAGTTGCTGCAGTTGAGTCGGCGACGGCAGCTGCTGCAGGAGGTGCGGCTGTTGCCGCTGCTGGAGATGCGGAGGCGGTCGTTGCTGGGTCGGCGGCGGCCACTGCTGCAGAGGCAGCGGCGGCTGATGCTGATGTAGCTACGGCGGCCGCTGCAGGAGATAGCGGCGGCTGCTGCTGCAGAAGATGTGGCAGCTGCTGCTGCAGTAGATGCTGCGGCGGCTGCTGGTGAAGATGCGGCAGTTGCCGCTGTAGGATGTGGCGGCGGCTGCTGCTACAGTAGATGCGGCAGTTGTCGCTGCAGGAGGTGGCGGCGGCTGCTGCTGCAGAAGGTGCGGCAGCTGCTGCTGCAGGAGATGCTGCGGCGGCTGCTGCTGAAGATGCGGCAGCTGCTGCTGCAGTAGATGCTGTGGCGGCTGCTGCTGAAGATGCGGCAGCTGCTGCTGCAGTAGATGCTGCGGCGGCTGCTGATGAAGATGCGGCAGCTGCTGCTGCAGTAGATGCTGCGGCGGCTGCTGATGAAGATGCGGCAGCTGCTGCTGCAGGAGATGCTGCGGCGGCTGCTGCTGAAGATGCGGAAGGAGCCGCTGGAGAAGATGCAGTAGCTGCTGCTGTTGTAGATGCAGCGGCGGCTGCTGCTGAAGATGCGGCAGTTGCCGCTGAAGAGGGTGCAGTAGTTGCTGCTGCTGCAGTAGATGCTGCGGCGGCTGCTGCTGAAGATGCGGCAGCTGCTGCTGCAGTAGATGCTGCGGCGGCTGCTGATGAAGATGCGGCAGCTGCTGCTGCAGGAGATGCTGCGGCGGCTGCTGCTGAAGATGCGGAAGGAGCCGCTGGAGAAGATGCAGCAGCTGCTGCTGTTGTAGATGCAGCGGCGGCTGCTGCTGAAGATGCGGCAGTTGCCGCTGAAGAGGGTGCAGTAGTTGCTGCTGCTGGAAATGCAGCGGCAGTTGCTGCAGAAGAAGCGGCAGTTGCTGCTGCTGAAAATGCAGCGGCGGCTGCTGCAGACAATGCGGCCGTTGATGCTGCAGGAAATGACGCGGCGGCCGCTGCAGAAGGTGTGGCTGCGGCTGCTGCTGGAGATGCAGCGGCGGCTGCTGCAGATGGCGCGGCGGCTGCTGCTGCTGCAGCTGCAGTGGCGACCAGGCCGCAAACCGGCGGCAACAAGGCCGCGAATCGGCGGCGACGAGGCCGCGGCCGGGCGGCAGCGACGCCGCAAAAGGCGCGACAGAGTCACGACACGGCCGTGGAAAAAAAAAAAAGGGAGGGGGGGGGAGGCCGTGAGAGAGTCGCGCGGGGCCAACAAAGGGGCCGGGAAAAAAACGAAGAAAGAAACGGCCGCAACTGGCCGTCGAGGAGAAAGCGCCCGTGGCGCGACTAGGGGAAACGCAAAGCGCGCTCCGGGCAGAAAAATTTTCTTAAACGTGGTGGGCCCTTCCTAGGAACCTTCCTGCTCTATACCATGTCAAGGTGAGAGAGGAATGATGTCGACTAGTTTGGGGCATGGGGTACAAAAGTGACGAGAGAAAAGTTGTACCCCCTAAGAAACACCCCTACAAAACCTAAACCTAAATTATATAAATCATATAATTTGACACTGGGGCGAACGGGGCTTTCCACTTTCAGCGACGCGCTCTTGGTCCTCCGTGCAACCCCGCCCATCAAGGTCCCCACCACAGCCGACGGAAAGTCGGTCGGCATCAAGGGTCTGGACAAGCCGCTGGCGAGGAAGCTCGCCGTTGCGTGGGGCGTGGTCACGGCGCGCTACATGGACGCTGACTGGGGAAAGATGCTCTTCGGCGACTTGTGGGATGAGCAGGCCAATAAGGCCGGCTTGGAGGCCGAGGCGACGGCGGGAGCCATCGGCGCAGGGAAGCGCAAGAGGGCGGGCTGAGGGTACTGCGTCTGGGTCCGACTTGTGCTGCTGGCTGGGCGTGGTGTGACTGAGGGTGGGTTGAGGGCGGGCCGAGGGCGGGCTGAGGGCAGGCTGAGAGTGGGCTGGGGGTGTGCTGAGCGTGTCGGACCTGTTCTAGTGATCCTATATGGTTTTCTTTTACTGCCAACGTTGTTTCGACTTGTAAATTTGTAAATTAGTAGAAGTTTGTCTCTTGTTCATGCATCAAACCGACTCCACACCACAAAACCTACTTCACAACGTTTCTGAAAAACTACCGACGAACAAGTTCAGCATCCCTAAGCCGGAGAGGCACAACAAAACAACAAAACAGCACCCGAAACCGGACACGTCGACCATGTCACGAGCGGTCGGGCCAGCGTTTGTAGGTCTTCGTCAGAAAGCCTGCAGCGTTTGCACCCACGCCGACCATGCTACGAGCAGGCGGGCCAGCCTTCGTCAACCTAGGCGTCGGCGACCTGCTTCCCTTTGTGCTGCTGCCCCCTCGTCCCCCTGTCCCGAATGATAATCTTCATCTGGGGGTCGATAGGCAAATCGACGCCGCGAGCCTTGAGCTTCGGGCCTCCGACATTGCAGTCCCCCCAGAAGGCGAGGTTCTCTATCATGACACGGGCGATCAGCTCGTCGTGCTCGCGCTCCTCTCCGACCTCAGGCAGCGACCTCACCACAGCCGCTTGCAGGTCCTTCGTCACCGTTTCGGCGACCTCCCCTACGACGACCACCCGGGAGGCCGCCCGCTGAAGCACCGCCTCGATGACGGTCCGACACCGACTCGCGAACTCGTTGGACGCTCCGCGCATGGTCGCTGCCGCCCCCCCTTCGCCGGCCGCTACTTCCGCCGTGGCATTGGTCTCCGAAAAACACCACACCGCGGCCGCAGTACCGGCGAGGATCTCGGACAACCGCTCCGACCCAACGCCCGGAATGGGCGTCACTTTCGCGGCCACCGGTGCGAAGGCGGCACACATCGAAACGCGTGCGATCATGTCGCTCGCCACCTTCTTCTTTGCGGCCTTCTCGGGCTCGGTCGACTCCGGAAGGTCGCCGAACCACACCGCCGGGCGAAGAGCCAACATGAGAGTTGCGCGGTCGGCTCCGGTTATCCTGTTGTATTCCGCGACCACCTGTTGGAACCTGCGAAACACAGCAGGAATACCCACCGTCACCGACCGCCCCACGCGAACCGACCGAAACGAGCACCAAATTGAGCATTCGCCAAGCTTACCTGTCGCGGAAGACGTTCGCCCCTCGGCTCCACATGACCATCCACATGCCCCCCGGAATCAATCGCGCCACATTCCAGTCCGCCTTATACTGCACCATCACTTCCTCCTTGACCCCACCGAAATCCTCGAGAACCACGTCGCTGACGAAGCCGTCGAACGACGAAACGGCGACAGCGATGCAGTAGGCGGCCTCAGACTTGTCCATCGACCGGCAGATGTAACGGCTCTTCTTCCCAAACTTCATCTCGGAGACGGCCAGCCCATTTGAAGGGTCAACGCGGACGCCTGAACCCTTCCGACCCTGCGCGGCCGCTTTGGACGTCCCCTTGGAAGAGCCGACCTTCGCCGGGCCGCCCTTCGCCTTGTCCTTGCCCTTGCGCTTCTGCTTCCCATCGCCGACCTCACCGGTTGTGGCCGGGGGGGATTTGGCGCCAGCCGCGCTATGGTCCTCCGCAGGAGCAGTCGAGGCGGCTGGTGCACCCTGTTGCGCTCCCACGGTGGGAGCTGCTGCTTGTAGTTTTTCCCGCATGACCTCAATTTCCGGGTCCGGCATCACGATGCTGGCGAGGATCTCTTCGTCCACCCCGCCGGCTTCTTCCGTCGCTCTCCACACAGCCGCCTCCACCGTTGAGCCACTCGGCCCTGCAGTCGCCGCCGCGACGTTCGCTGCCTCTGCTCCTTGGTCGACCGCCTGGTTGCTGTGAGTCGGAGGAATTACCGGGGTTTTCTGACCCTGATCCTCGAGCCATTTCAGATACTCGTCGAACGATGGCTTTTGAGTGACTAGAGCCTCGACCGCCCGAGACTCAACAGCCGTTGGGATCGGGATCGGTTCCGCGGCGACCATGGCCCCATGAACGGGTAAGCTGGCCGCACCGGCAGCCTGCTGGACATGCTGTCCGACCACCGCTGCTGGGCGCAAGAGCTCGTCGACCAGCGCCGTGACACCACCCGGTTGCGCGTCACGTGCAGTGGCAGGACTCTTCGCGGTGTGGGGATGCTGGCCCGCCGCGGCCTGCTGGACATGCTGTCCGACCACGGATGCTGGGCGCAAGAGCTCGTCGACCAGCGCCGTGGCGCCAGCCGGACGCGCGTCCTGTGCAGTCGCCGGAATCGTCGCGGTGGGGGGATGCTGGCCCGTACCTGGCGGCCCGCCCTGCTGTCCGACCACCGCTGATGGGCGCAAGAGCTCGTCTACCAGCGCCGTGACGCCAGCCGGACGCGCGTCTTGTGCGGTCGGCGTGCTCGTCGACGGGTGAAGATGCTGGCCCGCACCGGGCGGCCCGCCCTGCTGTCCGACAACCGCTGCGGGGCGCAGGAGGTCGTCGGGCAGCTGCGCTATGACGCCGGTCGGTCGCGCAGTCGGCGTACTCGTCGAGGGTTGAACATGCTGGACCGCAACGGGCTCCCCGCGCGCCTGGCCGACCACCGCTGCGACGTGCATGTCGTCTGCCATCTGGGCCGTGCCGCCGCTCGGTCGAGCGCCTTGTGCAGTCGCCGGACTGGCCTCGGGGTGTGGATGCTGGTCCGCCGTTGGCTGCCAGCCCTGCTTCGCGACCACGGATGCCTCTCCCATGAGCTCGTCGGCCAGACTCACCTGGTCGCAGCTCGGTGGCGCGTCGTGTGCGCTTGGCGGATCGGTCGAGGCCTGTGGCTGCTTGTCCCCCACGGGCTGCCCACCGGTCTTCCCGACCACCGACTGAGGATCCTGGAGCGCGACGTCGACCTGTCGAAAATCTACGCTCGGTCGCGCGCCAAGTCCATCTTTCAGCAAGTCGTGGTCGCCGGGGATACAAACATACGGAGGGGCAGGAGGATCCACGCCCACACCGCGTTTCACCGCAGGACCTCTGCTTCGCTTAGAGCCGCTGGTCTGGTCGCCGGTCAGGGATTTTTCGTCGGCGACCCTTTTCCCCGACTCCCTTGGGGCCGGCCCACTCTCCTCGGCGGTTGCGCGACCGCCGTGCATCACCGACGCGAGAGCAGTTGGGAGGAGGCTAAACCCGGCGGTGCCAATGCCCTGTTGGGTCGCGGAGGTGACCGCCTTCACCAGGTCGTCCCTAAGCTCTTGGACGACCTTCGCAGTCACGGCAGCGGCGATCCGCTGCGCCTCGCCCTCCATGGCGGCCTTCACCTCGGCAGACACGACTGCTTTGATCTTCTGGCCAAGAGCATCTGCCACACCTCGAAGCAGCAGGAGGTCGTCCTCCCGTCGCCTACCCTGTGCAGCAGTAGCCGTCAAGTGCAGGGCCTGCACGGTGGGCAGCCACTGTGTGTTCATGAATTCTAGGGTGGAGCCGTGATAGCTCACCGCCTCCTGCACGACCGCCCTCATAGCGTCCACCGCCGTTTGGATGCTCCTCCCCGACGTCTGCTCGAGATGGGTCACGCCCTCGGCGACTGTAGTGAGCTTGTTCACGGCCGAGGTGACCACGCCGTACATCGTGTCGTTCCGGGCCGTCTGGAACTCCAGCCTCTTTTCCGCCACCAGCTTCTCCTCCCTCAGCTTCTTGATCTCCCTCTCCGCCGCCTTCAGACGCTCGATAGCCGCCTTTGACGCCATCCTAGTCGGGGTCGAGCCACTGCTGCCCCGGGCCTTCTTGCCCAACTTGGGTCCGCTGCCGCCGCTCTTATCCGCAACCTTCTCACCGGCGAACTGTACTGCCTCCTCTTCGCCGGTGACAGCCACGTCGTCCTCCTCACGCTCCACGTCCTCCTCTTCTTCCGAGCCACCGTCGTGCTCCCCGCCCCCCATCGACGTCCTCCCTCTCGTGCTCCTCCTCCCCACCCAGAGCGATGCCGGTTCCGACGCCACGGCCCACGGTCGACGCCGCCTCCCCTTTGTTCGACGCGGCCTTCTCCGCGTGGTGCAGCAGCTCCAGTCGGAGCGCCTTCAAGCCGACCATCTTCGGGTTCTCGACGATGAGCGGATCGTAGCTGCGATGCACGTCGTCCAGATGCTCCAACGACCACGCGAACGCGTTGACTGCCAACAGCCCCGTGCCGGCGACCTCCTCCTTGAGGATGTCGGGCAATTTCTGCATCAACATCCGAAGCACATGGCGCCGACGAAAAGGGTGAGTCGACGCCTGGACGACGATAGCCCAGGCGACATGGACGTTGGAAACTCACATCACGGATGGGGGCGGCAAGACTCTCCAGACGTTCGGAGAGGACTTTGGCGGAAGGAGGCGCAGCCGTCCACTGCCTTCCCCCACGGTTCAACTCCGCCTTCACGCATTCGCCGAAAAACCTGCGCTACGAGACGGAAAAGAGCCATCAGACAAGGCGGCATGAACGCCGTTAAGGAGCGGCGCGACTAGCCGTCGACGTTGTCCCACCTCACAACGTTGGCCGCCTCCTCCTCGTGCCGCTTGGAGGAGGTTTTGGGGTCGAGGTGGCGGTAGAGCGTCCCGATCTCCTCCTCGTCGGGCAAAAGCAGGTCGCCAGGGCGCACAACAAGCAGGACGCTGCAGTGCCTGCCGGGAAGAGGTCCGCCACTGCCCACACAAGCACGACGGAGACATTCAGGGTTCTGTCCGGGAACAACAAGCAACGCGGTCGGCGTGGATCAAACCTCACGGGCGCGGAACACTCACCCGGTGCACAGGGGGATGGCGAGGGCTTCGAAGCCGAAGGCCGACCCGAAAATCAGATAGTCCGCCTTCGACGCCGTCCTGGCAGCGCGAAGACTCGCACCGCGGATCAGGATCATCCTGTCGCCTTTTCCCAGACGATCGAGCTCGTACCTGGGACAATCGGGGGCGAAAAGGCGGGAGCGAAACACTTGCGCGGTGAGCTACAATCCATGCCGGGCGCCGGGGTAAAGCGCGGACAGCAAGACAAGCGGACTCGGACCAAGGTTTCGCACGACGGCGATGTCGCCGGCAGCATGACGGACGTCACCGACGTAGGGCCAATGGTCGAGGACAGGCAAACTAGTTAATAGGACGATGCAGCGCCAAAACGTCCATCGCAGACGGACATCATCGACCACGCGGAAAAAAGACAAGGCCAACGTCGACCTAGAAAGGACGCCGACGAAAACGCGCAGGACAAGGACGAACAACGCGACCTAGGGATGCGCGCTCACGCGAGGCCGAGGTCGAAGCAAGGTTCTGTGAACTCGGCCTTCTCGTCGCGAAGGACTTCGTAGTCCTTCATCTCAAGCGTCACCCCGTACCCACCGATGCCCACTGGCACGTGGAGGGGGAATTCAGTCGCAGGCAGTGCAATCCTACTGGTCGCCATGCTAACACCACGGTCGGTATAACGGAAGGTTTGGGGAGGAGCGCGGAGAGCTGACAGGGAGGCAGAGGAAATCGGAAAGCGAAGTTGGAAAGGAGAAATGACGGATGGAGTGGGACCCCCCATCAAGAAATGGGCGTGGGCCGTCGGTCGCCTAGTATGCAGCTCGGCGGACGAGGCAGGTCGTGGCCGAGGGCGAGCCTCCGGCTTCGGCCCATACCGGGCATGCCCTCGAGGGCGGGGTTCGGAGGGGCGGAGGTGGGTGGTTTGTGTGGGCCGTGCGTGGGCGTGGTCGAGGTGGCGAGGGCGAGCCACGTGTCCCCTCCCAAGGGGCCAGCGATGTTGACGAGGGTGGGGTCGGGCCCTTTGAATTTCGCAACCAACCCGCCTGCCCGGCGAGGGCAGCCCGAGAGGGTTACTAGGGCCTCGCGGGCAACGCGAAGCAAATGTCCGCCTCCGTGAAGGGGTAACTAGGCCCCTCGTCGCTCACGCGCGAGTTCGCCACCCCTCGGCTGCAACGTGGGGGGCCGGGGCGGGGGGCGTTGGCAGAGCCCCGCCCCGCGCCAGCCTGGCGGGGGATTCACGCGAGGGAGCTGGCCGCCCTGACGCTCGGTCGACCAACACCCCCCTGCGTCGTCCCAGGCAAAACGGGTGCGTCACCCCGAATTCCGATGAGCGATTCGGGATGGAAAAACCAAGCCGCCCTTTTGGCCGTCAACCAGGCCTGTCCATTGGTCTGGAATCAAAACTTTTCTAGCCTGCGCGGAATGTTGCCCATTTTCTCACGTGCAGCGGCCCAAACGAACGAGGTTGGAACGTGCACGGGTCTGCCAAACCTAAAAAGAGGGTTGCGTACAGAGTTGTCCTTCTTAGCCTTTAGGCGAAGTAAAGTTTCTGACAGTTGATATATTTGTTGTTGCTTGGAAATGGGGGTGTAGTTTATCAAAGCTACTGGTGTGCACGCGACTATCAAGTCAGCGAAACGGCCAAGACACAGGCCCTGTTACTAACGAAGAGACTGAAGAGGATTGAAGACGTAGCCCCTGGAACTTCCCAGGGCAGCCTAGATTGGTCCCCATCTTTTTTGGTTGACCTGGGTGAAGATAGCCTAGGGATTTGCAATTTCCAGGTGAGCCTTCTTGTTTTAGAAAGCTTGCCTTGCTCATCTCTCTTCCATTTGGCACTGATGAAGGCTTGCTAGGGGCTTCCCCACCGGCCGAAACATGTTTGTCTGATTCATAACCACTGCTTAAAGCCAACAGCTAAAATAGTGAACCCCCCCTTCTAGTTGGGTCCAACTTGAAAACGGAAGTTTTGGGAAAGTTGGATGTTACGTGTGAGATTTTCTTTCAACACCAGAGTTTGCCTCAAAGTGAAGGGGGAACGATTGGATCGTAATTATGAACTCTGATTGGTGACAAACTTTCTCGCACATACATGTGCGATTTTGGCGCAAGGCTGCACGACGTGCAAAGCTTCCAATCGTTCAAGTGAATGTACCAGTGAATGTGTCAGAACATTATAGCTTATACATTTGTGTAGGCTGTAGTGGGGTAGCCCATAAGGGGTACAACCCAATTAGGGTTAGTACTTGTACCCAACTGTTTCATAGTTCATTCATTTCCATTCTCACTTCTCGTCATGGTATCGAGCAGTTTCCCGAGTGGGAATACTGCCTAGGGCCCACCAGGAATTTTTTTTTCCTTCCCTGCCCGGAGCGCGCTTAGCTCCTAACCCGAGGAGCACCTCGAGCTGCCTTAGTGGCCCCTATTGGCCGCCCTTACTGCCCCTCGAGCCGCCCTCTACGGCCTCGCTTAGGCCGCTACGGCCCCGCTACGGCCCCGCTTAGGCCCCGTCGGCCCCGCTACGGCCCCGCTTAGGCCCCGTCGGCCCCGCTACAGCCCCGCTTAAACCCCGCTACGGCCCCGCTACGGCCCCGTCGGCCCCGCTTAGGCCTCACTACGGCCCCACTACGGCCCCGCTACGGCCCCGTCGGCCCCGTCGGCCCCGCTTAGGCCCCGCTTAGGCCCCGTCGGCCCCGCTACGGCCCCGCTTAAGCCCCGCTACGGCCCCGCTACGGCCCCACTACGGCCCCGCTACGGCCCCGTTGGCCCCGTCGGCCCCGTTACGGCCCCACTTAGGCCCCGCCGGCCCCGCTACGGCCCCGCTTAGGCCCCACTACGGCCCCGCTACGGCCCCGTCGGCCCCGCTTAGGCCCCGCTACGGCCCCACTACGGCCCCGCTACGGCCCCGTCGGCCCCGCTTAGGCCCCGCTACGGCCCTACTACGGCCCCGTCGGCCCCGTCGGCCCCGCTACGGCCCCGCTACGGCCCTGCTTAGGCCTCGCTACGGCCCCGCTTCGGCCCCGCTTAGGCCCCGCTGCGGCCCCGCTACGGCCCCACTTCGGCCCCGTCGGCCCCTCTACGGCCCCACTTAGGCCCCACTGCGGCCCCGTCGCCACCGCGGCCCCGCCCACCCTTGCGGCCCGCCGCCACCTACGACCTCGCCACCACCTGCGACCCCGCCTCCCAGCGCCCGCAACGCCGAGCAGCCGAACCGCCGGCCTCCCGAGCCGCCCAGCAGCTGAGCCGCCCGACAGCCGAGCCGCCCAGCACCGTGCAGCCGAGCCGCCCAGCAGCCGAGCCGCCCAGCAGCCGAGCCGCCCGATAGCCGAGCCGCCCCGCACCAGCAGCCGAGCCGCCCAGCAGCCGAGCCGCCTAGCAGCCGAGCCACCGTGCAGCCGAGTCGCCCGACAGCCGAGCCGCCGAGCACCCCAATCGCTCCACCTACCTGGTAAGAGCACAGTCTCTGCCACTGCACTGCCCTCCCTCCTGCTGTTATGGCATCCCCTAGCGTTCTCACCTTTGACGCTGAGGGTCGGGCAGTGGACTTTAAGGTCTGGGTAGATGATCTGCAGCTTTTCCTGCAGTGCGATAGGGCAGACGGCCTCTCCCTGTTTGACCTCACTTCTGGTGCCTCCCCTGCCCCTGCTGCTGATGCTGACGCCACTGTTCGCTCACAGTGGACCACACGTGACGCTGCTGCTCGCCTTGCTGTGTGCCGCCACTTACCGACCACTGAGCGTGCACACTTTAGCCAGTACAAGAGTGCTCAGACCTTGTACGACGCTGTAGTTGCACGCTACTCTTCCCCTGCCACTGCTGCACTGAGCCGCCTCATGCTACCGTACCTCTTCCCTGACCTTGCTGCCTTTCCCACTATTGCTGACCTCATTACGCACCTCCGCACTAGTGACACTCGCTACCGCGCTGCGCTTCCTGCTGAGTTCTGCGCCAAGAACCCCCCCCCCCATGTACATCACCCTCTACTACATAGTCACCCGTCTCCCTGACTCTCTCCGTGTAGTCAGGGACCACTTCCTCTCTGTTTGCCCCACCACTCTCACCGTTGACCTCCTCGAGAAGGCCCTCCTAGCGATACAGAAGAGCATAGTCGCTGTAGGAGCCTCTCGTGGTGACCCTCGCACCCCCGTCTTTGAGGGGTGTTCTCCCTCCCCCCACTTGCCCTCTGTTGCCTCTGCTTCTGCGGCCCACCTTGTTGGTTTCGAGTCGGTCGGCGCTGCGTCTGCCCCGAGCAGGAGACGCCGCACCGGCAAGGGCAAGGGGGGCAAGGGCACTGGAGGAGGTGGAGGGGGCGGTGGAGGTAGTGGTGGAGGCGGTGGAGGGAGTGGGGGTGGTGGTGGGAGTGGTGCTGGGGGTGGCGGCGGCGGCAGCAGCAGTGGAGGCGGCGGAGGCGGTGGAGGTGGCGGAGGGAGCGGAGGCGGCGGAGGTAGTGGAGGAGGCGGAGGTGGAGGAGGTGGCGGAGGCGGCGGCAGCGGCGGAGGCGGCGGTGGTGGAACGAGTCGCGACTCTGCGTCGAGGAGTGGCGCCGGTGGTGGTCAGCGCCAGCAGCAGCAGCGGAGTGGTGTGACCCTGTCCCCTCAGCAACTTCGTGAGTGGTACACTGCACGCCAGAGCGGTGGGGGTTTTGGTCCCTGCTCTTACGTTCTCCGTACCGGCGACCGCACTGGTGAGAAGTGCGGGGGTCTGCACTCCACCCAGCGCTGCTTTGGTCGCCTGACGGACGCGTGGCGTCGCCAGTTCCCTGAGGCGTCACAGATCCCTCGCTGGGGAGATCTGGCTAAGGCCGGGGTTGCTATCTTTGATCTTGACTTTGATGCTATTCTTGCTGCCATGTATGCTGTTGCTGATAGTGTTGAGGGTGCCTGTTACCTGTGTGTACCGCCTGACCCGGGCATTGAGGCTGTTGCGCTAGGTGCTAGTGAGACTGCTGCTCTAGGTGCTAGTGCGTCTGCTGCCCCAGGTGCCAGTGCGTCTGCCGCCCAAGGTGCTGGTGAGTCTGCTCTCTCAGGTACTACGTCGGCTCAGGCCTTCCACACCTTCACCCTGGACTCGGGTGCGTCCCGCTCCTTCTTTCGAGACCGCACCACACTTACGCCGCTTAGTCGGCCGGTTGCAGTCTCCCTAGCAGAACCCTCTGGGGGTCCTGTCCTTGCTAGCTTCTCCACTGTCCTTCCATGCCCTGCAGCCCCCTCTGGCACCCTGTCTGGTCTCTACCTCCCCTCGTTCTCTACGAACTTGGTGAGTGGAGCGGACCTACAGGATCGAGGGGTTGACCAGTTCACTCCTGCGAGTCAGCGAGTGACCCACTGCAGGTGTGCTCGGATAGGCCGACACTTGGCCACGTTCACCCGTCGGCCAGGGTCGAGCCTGTACACCCTTACTGCTGAGTCTCCTCCTACTGCTGACTCTGCTTAGGTAGCTACGTCGAATCAGGTGTTTGCTGCGGCGTCCAGGTCTGCTCCTGAGTCTGCCCCCTGCTCGTGTCGTCTGCTGTCCCACCAGACTCTCCTTTGGCACCACCGCCTTGGTCACCCCTCCTTGCCTCGTCTCTGAGGCATGGCCTCCCTTGTCCTTGTCTCTGGTCTTCCTCGGTCTCTCCCTCCCCTTCCTCCGGGGCCTGGCCCTACCTGCGTTCCCAGCGTCGAGGGGCGACAGCGCGCCGCCCCTCACTCCTCCGAGTTTCCTCCGACAGAGGCTCCGCTACAGACCCTCCACATGGACGTGTGGGGCCCCGCCCGCGTCCGTGGGCAGGGTCACGAGCGG